TGAAACTAGATTACTTTATACTGAACCACGAGTTTTGTTTTGATAATTTCTATCTTTTTCTTTCTCTTTTTTACTTTACTATTATTATTATTTAATTTTATTCAAGCAAGTCAATTTCGTCGTTTTTTCAGCTCTTAATGTTTTAAAAATTTAAGAGCTTTTTTTTAAATTTATTTCATTTTTGCTTGTTTTTCTGTATTAACTATAGCGCAGCATCTTAACGGAGCGTTTCTAATAGATTTAATTCTTTTGTTGTCACTTTTTACCTGTGCTTTAAGACCGATAACCAGAAACATAGAAGACTGCGATTCTCTACCTTAAAATTATGTTTCAGAACTAAGAATAAATTTTTTTTCTGTTCCTCTGCAGTTTTTTTTATTAACTTTTCTTTTTATCAATTTTATCATAATAGCATTTTTTAACGAGCGTATCTAGTGAACGTTATTCCTTTATAGTCATTTTTTTCTAAAAATACGGCTATGTGAAATAGTTAAATTGAGATCTTTCATTAAAATTAGAAACAATCTAGATTTTTTTTTTGAAAAAACATTTTTTATAGACGTTTTTATTATGACGCGGCAATTAAGAGGGTTTCTATTAGACTTTAAACTTAACTTTTTCTTGAAAATACGGTAAAATTGGATACAAGCTTTAAAAATCTCTTTCAAAATTTAAGATCGCGATTTTTATTTTTTTTCTGTTTTGCTTTTGTATATAATCTTTTTTTTTTCATTTTTTTTTTCAATCGGCGCTTATATGATAGCGCTGCATTTTGAAAAGCGTTTCTGATACTCATTATCTATCTTAATGCTTCGTGGATAATTTTGTTTCGGAAAATATTATTTTTAACATTACAGTTTTGTTTTAAGAATTAAGACATTTTTTTTTCTAATTGTCTTTTTTTTCAACTTTACAACTATAGTTTTTTTTTAAAAACCTGTTAGCCAGTTTTTTTATTTATCTTAAATACTTCTAATTATTTTAATATCTAATTACCTTAAACATTTTTATTAAATTTTTTTTCCGATTACCCATACAAATAATACAGCTAAGTTTCGATTATTTTTTAACATTGACTTAACTTATTTATATATAAAAAGAATTATATTTACTAATGATATATATTTTTTTTAAATTGCTATTCGACCTCTGAATATGCGGTATTCGGCCAATATTTCTAGCCGAATATTCAGTATTCGGCTATTCAGCCAAATCATTATTGGTTATACCCCTAGCATAAACATATTATTATCTATACATTATCTTTCGAGTCGTTGTCTTGCTGAAATGTCCAATTTTAAGCCATCAATTAGTCTACATACGCCAATAGGACAGCATAAGTAGCGAAACATAATGCCATAAGTTTCTTTTAACTGAAAAACACCACAAATCACGAAATTGCCTCCACCATGTTTGCCAAACATTATTTCCTCTTCTTGTCCGGATATGGAACATATTTTCTGCTATCACTTCAATATAAATTGAACTTGTATTAATATATATATATATATATATATATATGAAAGGGTAGCAGTCATGGTGAGTGTGGTTAGGCCACGCAGATAGCAGTTGGAAGGCAAAAAATATTTTATTAGCTTCACATAGTATATTTAAGACATTTTCTAGCAAAGGAGGAGCTCAAATTCGCACTCCAAAACTGTGTGCTTAAGTTTTTATTTTAGGGAAAGTAGCAAAGGAATTTCCCTCTATTTTGTTATATTTGAGGGAAAAAGGGAAGTCCCAAGGATTACTATTGGTTTAAGAACTAGCTCGAGTGATTCCCACGTAGTTTAAAAAGGAAGAATGTTTTTATTTAAATTTATGCATACTTTGGCTAAAAATAGATTTAGAAACAGGATGTGGCTTTTAAAAGTGTGAGAAAGCAGTTCGACTTGAATAATTAATTAGTAATAAAGTAGGAGTTGTTTTATAGCAAAGAAACTAACATNTGGAAAGTAATTTGTATAGTTATAATATTATGAAAAGTGGAGCAATATTGAAATTTTAATGAATGTTTTTTAAGTAAATCATTAGGATTGGTATATATATATATATATATATATATACTTTTCTATAATCCTCGAAAATTCAGTTTAAGTGGTCTATGGCAAACTGTAATATAGCCTTCTAATTTTTTTATTTATTAATTAAAGACTTCTTTATGGCTATTCGTCCATGCAATTTTACATCATATAAACGTCTTGTAACAGTAACTGATATTTACACTTTCTTTTTGTAATTCCAATGTAATTTGAGTTGCATTTTTTATAAGGTTCTTTTTTTCCTTATTTTATTAATATTTTTTTCGTGGCTAACAACTTTAGATCTACATTTTAAACCATATTTTACTTTCATCAATAATTACCATATCAGTCACAGTTTACATTCCAAGTGAAAATAAAAATGAAATTTCATTAGAGGATTTGCCTCTTCTATAATTTCTTATCCTTTACATATATCCAAGCAATCGTGTCTACCCATAATGTTTAATGCAAACTAAATGTTTAAGACAGAAATTTTTAGGGTTCAAATGATTGTGGTGGCATAGCGACAACTTATCATCATCAAATATAAACAAGTCGAAATTCTTGATGGTCCCATCTAAACATTTTGATGGTTTATGTTGATTTCAGAGTGATTCATGATGGTCCAACATCATTTGATGGTCCCCATCCTCCAACATTATCCATTATGCTTTCATGGTTTTTGATATGCCAACAAACTTCCATCATTCTATGATGGAAAATTCCATTTTAATACTATGATGGTTAACCATCAAGAGAAGTTTGATTCTCATAGACTAACAATTCATGATGATTCGTAATGGCTCGGTTCCAATGATATATTTCCATAATGGTTTAATAGGAATTCTTGTTGGTTCTCAGGAATATACCATCAAAACAATTTTTTTTTATGTTGGACCATCAAAAATCAGTCCAAATTCTTACATTGGGAAGATGGTGGTGCATGATCGTTCCAACATTTGATTTCTAATAAACTATGATGGAAATTTCTGATGGTCCAACATGAACAAACCATCAAAAAAGTTGCTATTTTTATGTTGGACCATCATAAATCCCTCCGAATTCCTACTTTGGGGTGATGGTTTTTCATGTTGGTTACCATCAAAAATGTAATAGTTCATGATGGAATTATTGATGGTTACCATCAAGATTATATTGGTCCATCAATGGAAAACCATCAAAAAGTTTGACTTGGGTAAATAATAATGTTATTTCTCTTAACACAAGACTCAAAACACATATTAATGCAGCGAACTGTTATTTTATTTGCACATTGAATTCACACACTTGCCTCTTTCGAGGTTGTTAATACACACACTAGTTCTCGTTGCTTACACAGAGGGCACTGCTCGCATACAAAATTGAACATACCACCCCACATTGCACTGGTTCAACAAGGCAATCATTGTTATACTCAATTCACACATAAGTGACTTCATTAACACTTTTACCCTTTTAACATTTCATACAATTAACCACTGCTATACTCAATAACATAAATCACTAAATGCAATTAACAACACAGTTTATACTGCAATAAACATAAACAAATAGATTTGCATGCTATTATTATCAATTTTAATTTTATACACACATAATTAATTAACCAATTTTATATCAATAAGAACACTAAATATATAACACATTCAATTAATTATAAATTTAATGATCTGGCATTGGTAAAACACATATTTTAGAGATGGCTCTTTTAATAGTATTATGTTGAGTTTTCACTTTCACAACACGAATTTTTTTGTCCTCACCATAATACAGTTGAACAATACTGCCCAATGCCCATTTATAGGTTGGTAAATTTTCTTCAATTATCACTACCAAATCTCCGATTTTAACATTATTTTTTGGGAACATCCATTTGCCTCGTTGTTGCAATTGGTTCAAATAGTTACGACTCCATAATTTCCACATTAATTGAACTACTCTTGTTATTTTTTTCCATTTTTTGAGATTACTTTCTTTATATTTTGTTAAATCTGGCTCTTCAATAGAATTTAAAGATCTGCTTAATAAAAAGTGTGCAGGGGTAAGAACTTCAAAATCGTTATCATTGGCTGATAAGGGACAAAGCGGTCGGGAATTCATAATTCCCTCGATTTGTACAGTAATCGTGTGAAGTTCTTCGTAAGTTAGTTTATCCCTTTTACAATCCTTTTTAGGTGATATTTACACGATTTTATAGCTGCCTCCCAAAGGCCACCAAAGTTGGGAGAACTGGGCGGAATGAATTTCCATTCAATCCCTTCTGCTGCCAAATAAGCAGCTAAACTTTCGTCTGGTTTCCTAACCATTTCATGCAGCTTTTTAATCTCATTGTTAGCCCCCACAAAATTTTTAGCATTGTCTGAAAACAATTTTGCACATTTTCCTCTTCGAGCCGTAAACCTTTTCAACGTGGCAATGAATGCTTCCGATGTTAAATCAGAAACTAACTCGATATGTACAGCCTTAAACACAAAACAAACAAATATACATATATACACTTTATACAAAACAAACAAATATACATATATACACTTTATACGAAACAAACAAATATATATATATACACTTTATACAAATTCCCTTTACGTTGTCCTCTATTGTTAATGAAGAAAGGACCAATGAAATCAACACTTGAACAATTAAATGGATAATCAGGTACAAGCCTTTCTTTTGGCAGGTTGCCCATTAACTGACTTGACACTATTGGTTTTGCTTTAAAACAAGTTATTCAGTTATAGACAATTTTTCTACAAATTGATCGACCACTTAAAGACCAAAACTTTTCACAAATATGATTAAGTAGAGATGCAACTCCTATTATTATTAAAGTTAACTTATTATTCTTGGGTAAAATTACCTGATGCTTCTTATTAAAATTAAATTCTGTATTACCTAAGCGACCACCAACTCTTAAAATGTCATTGTCATCCGAAAAGGGACTAAGAGTTTTTAACTTACTGTTTGATGGTACACTTCCAGATCGTTTAATACTTTTTATTTCAAAAGAAAATTCTTGTTCCTGAACCTTTTTTACCAGAAAGGTTTCTGCTCTTTCATACTCCCTTGTTGTTAATGGACCTGTTGATTTCTGCTTCGTTTTTACTATCTCCACGAACCTAAACAGAAAACTCACAACACGTAAAATAGTTATTGCTTAAACTAATTAAATCATTTATAAAATTATTAGTAAGGATATTAAGCACAGACGGAAAGTCCTCAAAGTCTCCATTGGTGGAGCTTCTCAGTTCTGAATAGTACTCATCGTGTATCTCACTACAATTTATAGTTCGATTTGGATAGTCATTATCTGTAAGAAACATCGGTCCATTCCACCAAGGGTGGTTATGCAGAAGTTTATCAGGATCAACACCTCGTGAAACTAAGTCTGCAGGATTTTCATCAGTTGGTACATGTCTTCATCGCTGATTAGAAAATAGCTCTTGTATTGTGGCCACTCTGTTTTGGACAAAAGTTTTTAAGTCTATGGGTTCTTTTTGAAGCCACGCTAGAACTATCATAGAGTCTGTCCAAAGGTATATTTCAACAGTTTCTAACTTTAACGCAGCAACAACTCGTTTCACAAGTTTTGACAGAAGAACAGCAGCACATAATTCAAGTCTTGGAATAGTTAGACTTTTTATAGGTGCGACTCTTGATTTGCTTGTTATCAAGCTAACCAAAGTCTCATTCATTGAATTTTTAGATTTACAGTAGACTGCTGCACCATAACATTGCTGAGATGCATCAGCGAAGCCATGGATTTCTACACTTTTTGGAATAGTGATGAAGATGCGTCTTGGAATCTCTATATTGTTGATGCTCTCTAAAGACACTAGAAATTGATGCCACTCTCGATATTCTTCATCTGGTAAAGAGTCATTCCAGTCCATTTTGATTCTCCACAAACGCTGAAGGAAAATCTTTGCCTTTGCTATTACCGGTGCCATTAGACCAATCGGGTCGAAGAGCTTGGCAATAGTGGACAAAACGTCACGTTTTGTGTAAGAATTCTCCAAGCATACCTTTACTCTGAATAGAAAACAATCTAAAATTGGTTTCCAGGATACACCTAAAGTTTTTGTCTCTATTAACGTTGCAAAATTATAATCACATTCAGAATCTGGTGCTAGTTTCACGTGATTGGCGCAGAGCTTGTGTAGTGTCATGTCAGCACTTTGCAAAATCCCTTTTAATTGTTGCTTGAGCTCAATTGCCTCCTCTAATGTGTCTGCACCGCACAAACAGTCATCCATGTAAAAATTATTTTGCAGGACGGGAGCAGCCATGGGGAAATTGGCTTGTTCGTCAACTGAAAGCTGTTTAAGTGTTCTTTGCGCTAAGTAAGGTGCGCTTACCGTGCCGTAAGTAACGGTAGATAGTTCGTATATTTTTGGCGGTTCATCTTCATTTTCACACCAAACGATTCTCTGAAGATTACGCTGATTTGGATTGATTAAAATAGTTCGATACATCATTTTGATATCAGCAGTAAAGGCATATGCATATGTGCGGAACCTTAGCATTTGAGTATATAAGTCCTCCTGAATCACTCCTCCATTAAACTGAATATCATTAAGGGATATTCTCTTATCAGTTACTGAAGAACAATTAAATACAACACGAAGTTTTGTCGTGGACTTTTCTGGACGATAGATTCCATGATGTGTAGCATAATATGTTACCTCTGGTTCAATTTCTCTAGTAACCTCTCTCATGTGTCCCAGTTTCTCATATTCTTTTAAGAAATCACGATATAAATTTAAATAAATTTCATCTTTAGCTAAGCGATTCCACAGCGATCTGAGACGTTTGAGGGCTATATCTTTTGAGTTTCCTAAACATGAGGGATCTTCCTTTAGGGGCATTGAAACAACGTATTTCCCTTCCCTAGTTCTAAAATGAGTATCCTCAAAGTGTTTCTCGCAAATTAAGTTTTCTTTACTCTTTGTTATTGTTTCCTCGACATTTTCTATTTGCCAGAATTTTTCTAGTGTTTTATTTAAGTCCTCATCACGAATCAAACCGCAGTGAACCTTTGATTCATTTATTGAATCTAAATTTCCGGTCACTACATACCCAAATACGCTATTGACCAAAAGCAATTGCGAATTTTTTATTTTAATTCTTTCCGACTTTATCAACTCGTAAAATATATTTGCACCCAATAATAAATCTATTTTTCCCGGAATATTAAAAGTGTCATCTGCTAATTCCACGAAATTTGAAAAATCGACATTTATATTTAAAGTTTTATTCGGAATAAATTCTGTGATTTTTTTAACTATGAGCATATCTAATTCTCTTTCAAAAGATTTGTTTTTATTTGAAATCGCCACTTTAACACACCCATTTACCATCATAGAAGTATCGTTTAAACAAGAAATCAATGTATTTATTTTTTCACTCTTAAGTTGCAATTTATTAGCACATTCATTTGAAATTAGACAGGTTTCACTACCCGAATCCAGTAACGCTCTACACATCTGCCATTCCGAATATTTATCCCTTACGAGGATTAATGCCGTACTTAATAAGCATTTGTTTTTAAAACATGCGGTCGCCACTATTTGAGTAGTGTCTTCTCTCGGAACGAATGATTCAGCACTTACATTAAACGCGGTTGTTTGTGATTTATTTTGATCATTAATTGGCGCCATATTGGGAGTGGAGGAATTGTTTTTAATTTCTCTCGGATAATGTAAAAGTTTGTGATGAGCCTTTTTACATAGAAAGCAGTTTCTCATTCTGCATATATTAACTTCACATCTGGGGGAAAAACACTTAAAACATAGTCTATTATTTTTTACAAACTCTACTCTATCGTGCACAGACATTCTTTTGAATTGGGGGCAAAATTGCAAAGCATGAGACTCATTGTTTTTACATAATACACAGTTATCATTTTTTATTTCAGATAAAAATACATTTGTTGCTCCTCTCTGTACACTCGAATTATTAACTCTATTTTGTTTATTAAATTCGTAACGCTTAGTATTTCCACTGAAAGATTTCGAAAATGTTTCATTTTTGCTTTTGCCTTTCGAAGATAAATAAATATCACACTCACGCCCCAATTCATGTGGTTTAAAATACTTTTCTCCCTGTTTTACACTAATATGAGTCATCAATTCTCTATCGAGAGTACTCATTATTTTATCCGATACTATTAACTCACAGACGGATTTAAAATCATTTACATTACGTAATTGACAATAATATTCAAACGTCGCACTTAGCCTTGACGCAAATTGTACATAATTCTCTGAACTTATTTTTTGTGCTCTTTGGAATTTATTAAAGCATTCTTGTGGTGTAGGGGAAAATTCTTTTAGCACTAAATCTTTGAGTTTATCGTAATTAGTTAACTCTTCTTCGGAAATGTGAACCATTAAATTGTTAGCTCTCTCACCTAAAATATTTAAAAGAATTTCACATTTAAATTGCTCGGGAACCTCTTTTGTTTTGAATGCTTTTTCCAACGACTGAAAAAATAAATTATAAGATTCAACTCGTGAGGGTACAGGTATAGTTAAGGTTTTTACCGATTTTAATAAAGTTTCGATATTAATATTACTCGGATTCTCAGAAACACTTTCTTTTGCGATTACGGAATTATGCGGTAACTCTTTTTGAACATTAGCTAGCGCTAATTGTTTTTCTAATTGCGCTAATTTAATTCGCTCAAGTTCTAATTTAGATTCACTATCGGCTAATTTAATTCGCTCAAATTCTAATTTAGATTCACTATCGGACTTTTTATTTTTTACTTCCTCTATAGCATAATCCAGTGCGCATTTAAATAGCTCTTGATCTGTTTTATACACTTCGCTGTTTTCAATTAAAGTTTTTAAATCGGCAATTTTTGCACCCTCCGGTACAGTTAAGTTTAATTCTTCTGCGACGAGTCTTAATTCGTCTTTCTTTAATTTAGTCAAAGACATGTTTATAGTTTAATTCACCTAAATATAAATTTAACTTTCACCTACCTTCTCAGATCGCTGTTAGACGCACTTGAGTTTCAGTTTCGATTCTCGATCGTACACGTACACGTTTCACTGAATCTTTTACACTAATTTCAGCTTAATTTTCACAAAATTTTGCTGTCCATAGATCGCTTACCCTCTCAGGCTCGGATAAGGACCATGTTATTTTACTTAACACCAGACTCAAAACACATATTAATGCAGCGGACTGTTATTTTATTTGCACATCGAATTCACACACTTGCCTCTTTCGAGGTTGTTAATACACACACTAGTTCTCGTTGCTTACACAGAGGGCGCTGCTCGCATACAAAACTGAACAAATAAAATTAGCCGGAACACGAAAATATTGTAATTTATTTTTGTTATTATGTTTCCAAACGTTTCGGCATAAAAATGTGAAATTATTTTACTTTGACTACAATAATAATTAAAATTATCTGCTTTTCACTCATTAAAAGCAGAAATAAGAACCCAGGATGTTCTTATCTATCGATTTTCGCAAGACTGGCTTAAAAATAAAAAAAAAACATTGATACCACCACCACCACCACAAAATAAATAAAATAAAAAAATTTCATGCAATAAAGTACCTACTTCTCTAAAAACTGTTATTTGACCTTAATAAGATTTGTCCTCCGGGATGTTTCCCAGAACGTCGCCAATAGCCCATTGTGCAGCTCTAGTGCGACGTAAATTAACAACAACAATAATAAGATTTGTTTGAGTATGAGAAAAACACCGTATTCCGTTCGTATGGCGTCATACAAACGGAATTTTTTTAGTACGTCCGTTCGTATTTAGTTCTGTTTTGAAATGTAATTGAACGGTTCCATGAAAACAAAGAAATTTTTTTTTTTTACTCATTTAAGTTCAGTATTTATTAAATCAAAAACGGTCAAATTATTATTTGTTTCGTGTAAAAATTCTAAGTTTTTCTGTAATGGAAACAATTCGGATTAAGACTTTTTTTTTTCTGGCTGCTGTTTGCAAACAGAAGTTTAAAAAAAATTGACTGAAAGTTTAGCTAACTGTAATGTTCATTGTTTTTATTCAATTCAATTTTTAACTCTCCGAAACTTCTTAATTGTTGTACGCACCCATTAAAAAATAATAATTGCTTCTGTGCCTTCATTTGACGCTAAAGTTGAATATTTTAATTTTAAAGGTAAGTTTTCTACAGCGGATAATACACATCTAATACCACTTACACATTCAGAGAAAGTAATGAAACTGTTTACACAACACAGATAGGTGTTGAACTAGTTAGTGGTTTTCATTGATTTGATTTAAAATGATTTTTGCTTTACTCGATAATGAAAAATCTATAATTTTATATTAAATTGAAATAATGTGTATCGTTTTGTAAAGTTCTGAATTTTTTAGAAAAAAAAATCAGAGCAAGATATCTAATAAAACCTTATATTAAATAATACTTATTTTCAAAAGTATGGAAAAATCCAAGATGATAATTTTTATTATTTTCAATACATATTTTAAAAGTATTAAGCGAATGAAAATTTCATATTGAAGCTCAGAAATAATTACTCGAAACTAAAAGCAACTAGATGGCTAATATATATAAAATGATGATTTCTTTTTCAGAATGAAAATTTTCATTGTGACACTTCTGTTGGTGGCTTCAGCATTTGCGCTGCCAAATCAGGAAGAAAAAACGGCAAGAGCTGCTAGATTCGACGAAAGAAAATTCAGTAACAACAAACACGCATCCTTGACATCAAATGATTTAGATAGCAACAAAAAACAAGTCTCTCAGTTTTTAACCTCAAAGAATGTCATCAGAACTCTTGTAAAACTCATCTTTGGTAATGATGAAGAAAGTGCCGCAACATCCAAGCAAATCCTGAATATTTTTGTGAGTGTTCTGGATATGCTTAAAAACACATTAGGGCAAAGAGCACGTTCTTCTAAAGGTGTTGTTTTAAGTGATGCAGCAACAGCTAGTGCGTCGCTTTTAAAAGGATACATCCGTGCCTTTTTGACAAACAACAGTAGTTGTGTACAAAAGTATTTGTGTGAAGCTAGTAAAGAAGCTGTAAGTGATGGACATGAAGTAGGATATCTCATTGCTCAAGTTGGAGGGTAAGCATTTTATTTCACAAATTCGGAAACTTTTCCAAAATTATCTCAGATTCAAAGAAAAAAAATTCTTAGTTACCAAATGTAGAGAGAAATTTTTTTTTTTTGCTCACTGAAGAAAAAAAACTTGCTTTCAAAATCGATCCATGTTGATAAAAATTGTATCCCATGATGCATTTTTAGAATAATCCCTTACACCAATTGGCTGACTTTTTTTTATAAAATTATTTTATTTAAGTAATTCAATGAAAAGAAATGTTAACTAAGTAATATTTTATTCTATCAATTTATTCAAAAACACTGAAACATTTATACTTAAATATTCCATTTTCTTTTCGTGTCTTTAGTCGTCACTTTAAGACACAATGATAATTTTTTTTCTTTTTAAATTTGAATTCTAAATTAAAACTCTTTTAAGAAACAAATCATTTTCCAGCCATAATGTTTAGCATTTAGTTAAAGTAACCCTTTAAATTCTCTTCGTTTCCAGTAGAATCTGCAATTTTTGAAACCCCTCAATGAATGGAATAGAAAATTTTTTTACAGTCATATATATATATATATAGTTAATAATTTATAAATAAATTAAGTACTATTCTTCTTCTTCAGCACGACAGCCCCTTACAGACCTTGACTGCCTCAACCACACGTAGCCTCTAACGCCTCCTGTCCATGGCGACTTTTTCCCAGTTGTTTATCTTTAATACTTTTAGATATTTAGCAGTGTCATCCAGCCATCTAGTTGGAGGTCTTCTTCTAGCCCGAGATCCCGAAGGATTTTCAAAGATGGCAATTCAGACTGCATTATTTTCTGTGCCTCTTCAGATATGGCCAAGTCATCTTAATCTATTGCTTCGGATGATCTGCACTATCTGTGGCTGTCCATAGAGTCTATATAATTCAAAGTTGTATCTGATTCGCCAACAGCCTCTTTCCTGTGCTGGGCCAAAAATATTTCTAAGGATTTTCCTTTCAAAAACACCAAGAGTACGCTGAGTGTCTGCGTTTAGTGTCCATGTTTCACTCGCATAGAGCAATACAGGTAGAATAAGAGTCTCATAAATTTTAATTTTAGTTTTTCGACTGATTAGGCTTGATCTTAATTGCTTTCTTAGTCCAAAGAAACACTTGTTTGCCATTTTAACTCTGTTGTCTAATTCTGTTTTTATGCTGTTTTGGTCATTGATCATTGTTCCAAGGTATTTGAATTCATTAACCTTTTCAAAGGTGTAACCATTTATGAATAAAGGATCATGATTTACAGTTGTGGCTGGAGATTCCATAAATTCAGTTTTATTTTCATTGATGGTAAGGCCCATATTTGTGGCAGAAGTTTCAAGAGCCAGAAAGGCCTCTCTCACAGCTCTCTCTGACCTTCCTACGACATCGATGTCATCGGCATATGCCAGTAACTGAACTGATCTATTCTAAAGGGTGCCTTTTCGGTCTAATCCACTATTTCTGATCCATTTCTCCAGAGCTAGATTAAAGAGTAGACAGACGCGGGATTCCCCTTGACGCAGGCCTCTCTCTGTTGAAAATGTTTTCGATAATTGATTTTGAATTTTAACCCTGCATCATATATTGCTTAGTATAGCTCTGGTTAAGTTAATGAGTTTAGTAGGGATCCCAAATTCGGCCATTGTTTCCAGTAGTTTATCTCTCTTTATGTTGTCGTAAGCAACTTTAAAGTCTATAAATAAATTAAAAGTTTTGATATTATATTCCTTAGTTTTTTCTAAAATTTGCTTTAGGGTGTGAATTTGATCTATAGTAGATCTTTGTGATCTAAAACCACATTGGTAGTCTCCAATTATTTTGTCGGTAAAAGAGAGAAGTCTTGCAAAAAGCAAGTTGGAGAATATTTTATATGCCGTATTGAGGAGTGTAATGCCCCTATAGTTACGACATTCAAGTTGGTCTCCTTTCTTAAATATGGGGCAAATGGAGCTTTCTTCCCATTCAATGGACAATTTTTGCTTATCCCAAATTTTAACCATGATATAGATGGCGTTAAGAAGCTCTGGTTCATCAGTTTTTAGTAACTCAGATGGTATACAGTCGGGACCAGCCGACCCATTGTTGTTAAGTTTTTCAATAGCTATGACAACCTCATCTAGAGATGGTGGGGGAATGTCTACATGTCGAACTGGGTTCAGTTCTTCAGGGCTGTTCTCTAAGTTGAGAGTCTCATTTTTTGCTTCAAGCAAATCTTGAAAGTAGCATTTCCAAACTTTAAGCACGTGATGAAGTTCGCTCACAAGTTCTCCATTCTTATTTCTGCAGGTGATAGATTTTAGCTTAAATTCTCTTCTCATATTATTTACTAGTTTATAGAACCTCTTACATTCTTTTTGGTTATTTCGGCTTTCCAGGAGTTTCAGAGATTCCTCTAGATATGCTCTTTTCTTTTCCTTATGTAATTTCTTTTCTGTTTTCCTCAGATTCTGTTTTCCTGTATTTTTCCTCATAACTTCTGATATAATGTTTTTGGATAATCAGTCGGTAGGCTTTGTTTTTTTCTCAGTAGCTTTTCTGCAATCGTCATCAAACCACTCTCTTCTGGTACTACTTTCTAAGCATGGCATGGTTTTACGTGCTGATTTTAAAATGATTTCCTTAACTGAGTTCCAATCGAAGATGCTATTTGAATTTTCTTTTTCCAGTTCAATGGATCTAGATAGTTTGCATTTGAATTCTTTAAGGATGCTGGGATCATTTAATTTAGCGATGTCTAGTTTAAGAATGGTGTTTTTCTTCTTAGAGAAAAATTTCTTACATAACCCAAGTCTAACTTTGGAGATGACCAGAATATGGTCGATGTCTACATTTGCTCCTCTGTAGCTTCTCACAGCTAACACATTGCTACGATGTCTTGTATCTACAAGTACATGGTCTATTTGATTAAAGGTTAAACTGTCTGGGGATCGCCAGGTGTACTTGTGTATTTTCTTATGTGGGAATGCTGCACTAGAAATAAACATATTCTCTGAAACAGCAAAATCAAAAAGTCTCTGTCCGTTTCTGTTAGTCTCAGGGTGTAGGCTTTCAGCAGAAGCATGGGATCTAATAAATTGTTCTCTTCCAACCTTAGCATTGAAGTTTCTAAGAACCAGCTTTACATCCTGGACAGGGCATGAATCGTAACACTTCATAAGTAGGTCATAAAATAGGTCTTTTTCCTCCTCGTCTTTGTTTTCTGTTGGTGCATGGGCGCAGATCAATGTGATATTGTAATGTCTTCTCCTGATTCTGATTTTGCATGCTTATGGCCTGAAAATCAATAACTAAGTTTCTCAGTTTTTTGTTTACGATGAATCCGACACCAAACTGGTGGGATTTTTCTTGGCAGCTATAGTAAACTCTGCAATCCTTCCTATCCAAAATGCCTTGTCCCAGCAATCTGATCTCCTGGATCGCTAGGATATCAATATCATAGTTGACAAGTACTTCAATTAAGTTTTTCAGGGCACCTCCTTTATACAGGGTGCGAACATTCCAAGTGCCAATTTTCAAGTCCTTTTCCGTTCCAAGTCGTTTGGGTTGAGCCCTGCCAGTTTCCACGTATTGTTGAGGTTTCTGAACTGGAAGTTTTTTTTACAGAGTGGGGTAGTTGGCCCCACGCCAAACCCCCAACTTGGAGGACCAGGGTGTTCCTCTTTGTCTGGTGTCTCCCCTCCGACCTGTCCGGCTTGGGTGACCCTGCAGTAGCTAAGCTACCGCCGGCATAGCTCTCGGGATCGACAACACACACAAACTACACCACCACTATTACACACACTGGATTAAGTACTATTGCAATCACTATTTCGAACAATATTATTGTCATACTATAGTTTATAGTGGACTTATTGTTGGCTCCGCAGTCATTTCACAGTTCGTCTGTGTGCATATTTTTCGTAATATACTACGACACACTAAGTACCACGTAAAATTTAAATGTCTCTTGATAAAAACAAACTACCTCTAAAAATACTTTTATATCAAAATACTTTATTTTTAATTGTCTAAAAGAATTAAATGAATTTGATGGACGAAATATACCATCACAATTCAAACCTATAGCATGAGTACACAATCATAAAATGATTTAGTACAAACATTACCTCTAAAGGAATTAATTTATTAGGAGTCTTTTTTTATATTCGATGAACATTTCGTTTTAACGTGATTCAAATCAAACGCGATTTGGATAATGATAAAACGAAAAGTAATAAAATGTGATAAAAACTAGCGTAAATTTATAATAAAACAGCAATTAATAATTTCAATGAAAAAGCGATTCAAATAAAAAAGATTTTTCAATTTTTCGCCAATTAAAACAAAAAAGCCATTCCTTTGCAATTGAGGGAATTATTATACCATCCTGCCATATCTGGGTGATAAAATAGTAATAAACTCTTATAAAACTCGCAAATTTGGCGTGATTTTTCCATCGAAATGAAAATTATCAAAATAAACTAATAATTGTCAGTTTTTACAAATTTTTATAAGTCCAGGTGGAAAGACAAAGATCCTCAGATAAAACAGAGGTAATTTTAAGAAGCAATGACATTTTCTCATACTATAAATTGGCAGCTATTTTCTAAGGGATCAGAAGGCTTTGTGGGGGATGCTTTAGAATAAATTTTCATCCGTTGTTTACTCTTTTGAATAAAGACTAGACTGGAAGGGTACGGTGTAGCAATTATTTTAATGTTATAAATACTATTTTTTATGCAAATAGCTTTTTTTTTTTTAAATCTCATAATAAATTATTTCATTAAAAAAAAAATTTTTTTTTTGGAAAAAAAAAAGAAACATTTCTAGTTTCCTACTTATTGATGGACACCGGAAGAGGAAGGAGGTTTAAGCCCTAAATTCTTCCCGATTTTGTATGCCACTGCTGGCTGATATCAAAGTTAAATGGTCCGTAATTTTGCGTAGAAGCATTTATCTCCTTGTAGACAGTACAGACTTTTTCAATCATGTATTTCAAAAGCCTTTCACCAAGGTCAACTGCT